CCTAAGGGTCAATTTGGAACGGGAACAAACTTATCTGTGTCCACACATGGTGTGAGTGTATATAGGTCATAACTTCTCTGGGTATACTAAGTCTAGACCGTCCCAGATCAACTATACCTTGCAAGCAGAAAGGATCCTGCCATGTGGTAGGAAAAGAAGTCCATGGTATGCAGACCTTTTCTGTCAATAGCCCTATTTGGGCCACTCATGCAAAACAACAAAATAACAACAAAAAAATAGGCAACACCGATGTAAAGAAAATAATTGGTTTTTCTCAATCTTCCAAGAAAGCATGTAAATAATTTCACTTCTAAAAAAATCACCTTAATCAAAATGAAGAATAAAAAAATCTCATTCCTTAGTTTTAAAATATTTCTTATTTTCAGTACCATAACATATTTTCAAAAGCATACTTTTGAAACTAATGCAAGCAGGGTTGATGTAGAAAACATTTTTCCTCAAAAGATTATTCATGTATTAATGTTGAATCAGAGCAAGATCACAAAGCAGTGTCTTGCACAAAGAGGGCTTCCAATCAGGCGTGCAGCCCCTTGCACAGTCTCAAAGAAAACATGTAACAGGGCACGTTGAAGAAGTAGGGCGGACCTGGTTTTAACCCAACAGCATTCAGAGCTGGAAGGCTTACTGAGTAAGGTAGAAGCCTTTCAAATGCGATCTCTTCATCTTTGCAACCACAACAGAAAATGACAGATGTTCAAAGAGATTGGCTGAAACTAGCTGGAGCTATTGGGAAAAAAAATAAAATAATTATTTTCAACAACCTAAACTTCTTCCGTCTATAGTAATTAAGAAAGGAACATATTTTCTTTTTACCACAGTCATCTCTTTATGCAGGAAGGGAATGCAGGTCCATGGAATGAAGTAAAGTAACAATAGTAGTAGACCTCATTTCACTCTCTCAAAACCCAAAGAATCTGAGAATGCTGGGAAAATCAAAACCAAAAAATGGACACAGACATACTCTATTGGAAACTTCTATGAGAGGGACCAAATACCTAGTTGTTGTAGCTCATGTATTCCCTGCATGGAAGTAATAAGAGCACTCAGGTAAGAACTCTGCCACACAATTCCAAACACGATGATGACGACATGGAATGTAGACAAACGTACTGTATTGTTTGTTACTTACCAGTTCCGTGTGAACTTTAAGATGTGCCTGGAGCTTGTATTTATCTGGAGTAGAGTAGTCGCAATCTTCTGTGGGACATTTCAGCAGAATATTACTGTGTTTCTGAATGACATGGCGCTTAAGGCAGTTTTTGGTGATGGAAGAATAATTGCACTGGGAGCAGTAATATAAATGTTCTCGAGTATGCGTACGAACATGCATGTCATAATGCACTTGGTACCAAAACAACTTGCCTGAAAATAAAATTAGACATGAAGTAAGTAATTTCTAAACAATTGTCAGAGAAAATTTCAATAAATACCCAATTTTCTTTCAGGGCAAAACACATTGTTTGAATCCTGACCCTTTCATCTCTAACGAAGATTCATCTTAAAGACCTGTTGCTAACAAAAAATATGTTTACAAAACCCACTTTTGTCTAAAAAAGTCATATGTCCTGAAACAGCCTAACAAGGACAACTTCAATACATATCAATGATCTTTTTCTTAATAAGAAAGTCCTTCAAATCTGCTCTTCTATACAAAGGATCTGAATGCAACTGTACGCTAACAGAGATTGTAAAAATCTTTTTTGTTACTTCCTTTTGTGTTATTCTTTCCAAAAAGCATTTCTGACATAATGGTACCAACAAGGGCATACCAATTCATTTAATGTACAACGTTACACTGTTTTGAAAACAATTTTTTGGTCAAGCGTTGATTGCTTTCACTTCTCAGGAATGAAGACTACAAGATAAATCCCATATTGTTTCCCGTCCAGTTATGTAAACACAAAAATTTTCAGTTAGAAAAAATGGGAATGGTATATGATTCCCACTTTCATAAATTCAAAAAAGCAATTACAATCAGAACAGTCTTGATCCGATACTATGTAATGAAAATTTTCACCTCAAAAAACCTGGTTCAAAACAAGTCACAGAAATATGCCAGTATATACCCATCTGTTGTACAGAATGTATATTATTATACATCCTCCCACAGTATACGAAAAAGACTCCGAATTTTATACTAAGCTGATAATGAAGCTTAAGCATTAAAGCATGGACTGACTAATTCTGATCACATGCTTAAATCTGCTGTGCTTGTGCAGTGAAAGCTATGAGGTGGGGAGAGGCATGTGGACAGAAATAATCTAATTCTACCAAATTTCATATCAACAGAAAATTGGGCCTAGCAAAGTGTTGCTTTGCTATATTCCCCTAGTGGTCTTTTTTGAGGAGATTTGAGTAATTTCACACTATTTATACAGCAAAAAGTAAATCTCACTAGACCCCACAATCCATACTGAACTACAAAATTAATACTGCTACAAAGACACACAAATATATTGAACTCTATAAACCAGAGGAGGAGGAAAAAGATGTCCCACTACATAACATTTAAAAAACCCAAATAAACTTAATTCTATTGCTTCTTACCACAATATTCACATTCTAAGTCTCCATAAACCTTCCTTATCCTCTCACACAACTCTGTGTTCATTTGTCTCTTTTGCAAGCTATCCAAGATCTGCATAAAGGCAACAGCTCCACTCCCACTGTCTGATGTAACTGCATTAGTCGAGGCTGCCTGTGGACTGATGGCTGCATTAGCTTCTGGTGTTGGCAAAGGGTTTGTGGTTTCTGCTGAATTTTGAACCGTTGGATTGCTTGTTTCCGATTCGCTGGAAGGAACAGATTGATTTCTCGCTTCAGACGCTGAAAGGTTCTCGGTCACTGTATTATTCTGACTCGGATTTAAACTTTTGTCTTCAGACAGCAAAAGCTGAATTTCTTCACCCTGCTCATTTACAGAACTGCAGTGATTAACTTCCTCTTCATTTGCAGGAGAAACTTTTAACTCACCAGGACCAGAAGTACCATTTTTCATTAGAAAGCAATCTGACGCTACACAGGGTTGAATGTTTGGGACCGCTGTGTCTGTTGTCTGACACAGCGTCTCTGTTACATTCTCCACCAGAGGACTTTCGAATTCTAAGGAAGGGACCGCATTGATTTTTAGGTCACCATTATGTTGACCACTACGGTTTACACCTGCAGCTGTTGATTCACCTTTACAAGCAGACGGTTGTGGCACGCTCACGGCATCAGTGCTCACGGCAGTCAATTCATCTGCACTTTGGGCTAGCTGTTCACCGAGGGCCTCTGGCTGGATATCACCTCCCGGCTCAAGCAGGCAGAAACTCTGATTGATAGAACTGTTAAAAACAGAAGTTTCCTGCAAATCTGCATGAACGTCTTTGATGTGAGCACGAAGTCTTACAGAACTGACAAATTTCTTCAGGCACACAGAACACACGTATACAAACGGGTGCTTTCGAACATGAAGCTCAAGGGCTTGGTATTTAGTGGCTCCATGACCGCAGAGCTCACAAGCAAAGGGCCTTTCATCACCATGAACGAGCATGTGACGGTCTCGATCGAGTTCGTTTTTGAATTTGCGTTCACAAATATGACAGTCATAAAGAAGTTGCCTTTTGCCCTCTCGTGTCATCAACCGAAGCTCGTCAAAAACATCTTTCACCTTTTTATCTTGAAGGTCATGCGTTTCCTTGATGTGCTTGATCAAATTTTTAACATCTGAGTATTTCTTTTTGCAGAAGCGACAATGCTGCTTAATTTTCTTATGAACTCTTTCAATGTGGACTTTGAGGTGGCCTTTGCTGAGACAAGTGAACGTGCAGTAATCGCAGCTGAACTTCTCCCCTGTATGTTTCCGCATGTGAACATTAAGGTTGGCTTTGATTGCACTGGCATAACTGCAGTATGAACACTTGTAAGGTTTTTCATTTGTGTGAATCCTCAAATGTGCTTGGAGGGAGTGTTTAAATTTGAACACCTTGTTACAGTATTCACATGTAAAAATCTTCAGTTGAGTTGGACCCAACCTAAAAAGAAACCAAACCAGTTATATTTACAACACTGAAACTTGGTGACATAGTATGTCAAAATTACCCTAGATAGTCATAATGGACAGAAATGCTTATTTTATTTTAAAAAGGTATTCTCCACAGGCTTTTTAAATTCTGCAACTCATGCACAGATTATTTTCAGCCATTTCTTTATTTAATAGGCTCAGAAAACATTTCAGTTTCATGAAAATGGATAGGGAAGCATTTCATTCATATTTTACATGAACACAAATGTAAGTACTTCAAAATTACCTGCTTGATTTCATTGCCTGTTCATATGGGGTTTGCTGAATGGCATACTCTTGATATCCTCTTCGTTGTGATGCGTCTTGAACTGCTGCCTCTGGAGTTGTGGGTTCACTTTCTTGGGGAGCAGCCTCAACAGGAACAATTTTTGTGGCTCCTAAAAGCAAGAACAAAAAATGCTCATTAAAAATGCCCATGCATTGTCTATGATATACAAGTGTAAACAAACCATTAAAGTCTGTAATCATTACTTCAAATATTTCAGTTTCTGTTGTTATATTCAAGTGCATAAAATGATGAATACACTTCCAGAAGACATCAGTACTTACACCACAGATCTGCTTAAGTAACATGCCAGGACTGCTGGTTCTGAGGGTTATTCATGGTGCTTGATGCCTACTATTATGAGATTCTATATACAAATACTTCCACCTTAAAAAAAAAAGTAACTTTTGAAAATGAAATTTTAATTTTTCTGTTTCTGCCTCATACTACATCCCTTGAAAACTTCAGCCAAGCGGTTTAATCAGTTCCACAAATAAGGCTGGGGAAAAGACACTGTTTAGTCTATATTTAAAAGTCTACACATGTTTTCCTTAAACTGATCTTTTACTGCTTCTATTTTGGGGCATGCTGCCATCCCCTCAGAACAAAAGAATATATTCCATGCGCATTTCTCAGTCTCCATTAGAAGCAGGAGTAAAGGGGCTCTACCAAACACTATAGGATCAGATTCTATCCCTCAGGGCTTTACAGTTAGTTGAGGCAAAAATAAGCGTATTTTGAGATGTGATTGAGTTGAGATTATTTAGCTGAGTATTCTTTATTTTCTGAACAGCGGCAAGAAAAATTTAATGTTTTGCATCCACAGTTATTAGCATTGAAGGTAATGAAAACCCATATAAATATTAATTTACACTGAAAAAAACCCCAAAACAAAACCTCATGTATATCAAAACCAAGCACCCATTCTTGATTGATCCCCTCCTTTTTAATTTCTTTGTCTGTCTGTAATTCATCTACCCATGTGTTCAACGCGAATGCTATTATCTTCAACAGTTGAAATTATATATATTTGTATATTTATGTATTTATTCACATATATATTACAATTACATATGTATTTTTTGTGAAATCATGATAGTCTACTAACAAGTACTACAGAAAAATCTCTGAAAAAAAGTAATTGCTTCCTGGTCTGATACTGGAAAATTAATAGTACATAAGAAAACTTATACTGAGTAATAAAGAAAACAAGACTTTGAATATGTAGAAATAGATGAACATACAAGTGTATATAAAATGAAATAATGAAACCTGAATAGAAGAACAAAGTTCAAAGAATGATGCATGAGCTATTCCTAAATCTAGTTTCCCTAAAAAAACTTTTAGCCTGCACACCAGGAAAAGTGTCATAAAAAAGGCAGATAGAGTATATGGGAAAAAGCAGTAACAAGTGGGGTTACCCAAAAACATGTGTGAAAGACTCAGGGATGTTAAGTTGAGGAAAACAGTGCTGTTGACAAGGGAGAAAGACGGAGATCCTGTGGGTCCTTCAGAGTGATTTAAAGTGGGAAATGGAGATATTTTGAGAAGAGGCCTTTTGGAAGTATGTAAGGCTAGTGAAGCTTTTTGTATCAGATGGGATATCAGCCAACTCTGTCAATAAACAGACTGTAATAGCTCTGTTGCTCACTGAACTGGCTGGATCTAAAAAAAGGCTTTTTTTTGACTTCTATTTTTTAATAATTCTTTCAGTTCCATAGTAAAGATTCTCCCAGTTATCAGAACTGATCTTTCAAGTTTTCAACCTAAACGTTACCAGAACATTTTAACTTCTATTCTTCTTGTCACTCCCTCTCCCACAAATGCTGGGTTGTCCAGCAGGACTGCATCCTCCAAATTGCACTGTAGTAGCCCAGTGAGATGGGAGCTTGTCATTACAGTACAGGAGATGTGGTTCAGTCAGTGGGTTCAGTCTAAAGACGATAAAACAGACATTAGGCACCAGACCAGTGTTCCCCTAGCTCAATATTTTAAAAATAGAAGTAAGTTCTCCTTTATTTAGAACAACTCCGCTAAAAGAAAACAGATCTTGAACTGCTCTAAATGCCTGGCTACCTCCTTCAGGCCTCCCATTTCCTGAATGTGAGACAAAGATCTTCATTAAATGCTCTGCACTGAACCTCCTCTGTGCCCTTCTGCCTTTCAGAACGTTTAAGCACTTCCTGAAAAGATTGTTGAACTGTTTAATAGACTTTTGTGCTATCGCTATAAAATTTTAATCACCTAAATTAGGTGGACTAGATAAGTACTAACCCACCAGTACTTTGCATATCCGGAGCGGACAGAATGTTCCAGGACATCCCAGCACTACAGCCTACATTCCCCATGGGGTCAATGGAGAGGCAAATACCTCTCAAAACCTAAAGAGGGAGATCCAGTTCTTCGAACATACTGAGTACTTGCTCACGGTAGGCAACCACATCCCCTCATGTTAGGTAGTTAATTCCTACCCTTAGAAGATACACAAGCATTAAGAAACATTAGGTGCCTCTATCTACTTGGGATGCTGCCTAAGTATGGGCTACCAAGACCAGTAGCCACAGCAATCACTGCTATATCACAAACTAATGACTATATGCCTAGAAAGTGAGAAACCTAGTTTCTAGGCTCTACCCAACCTAGTAGGTAAACGCACACGTCCCACATCTCAAGTGAATGCCCTCAATATTTGTGTCTCTAAAAGCAGCCACAGGCTAGGGAAAAGTGCAAGAACAAGGCAGACACAAGGTCTGGTTTTCCATTAAAAACATCATATGCCAATAAGGAAGATAAAAGTTTTCTTAACTGTTACCCCCTGGACAATCATTTAAAGAAGTCAAGGTATACAAATACCAGGGGCGGGGGGAAGAGGTTAACTGTACTGATCATTTCTTTCAAAAAAATCCTTCCTCCAGCACTATTATATCTCTATTTTAAATGCAGAACGGACATTAGTTTACTAGACTTTATTTACGCCTTTTGCTTTCCTCTTTTCAGTCAATATCATCTGTTCTAAGTAAATCTGCTTTAAGTGTAATAAGATTTGAGTTACTCATGACATTCTGACAGCAACTTCTACAGATAAGCATTACCCAGCGTGCCTTATCTCTGGCTCAAACTCAGTGATGGCCACTAATCTCTTACAGTCTGTCCCTTAGAAAAGTAGCTTGCTCTTTACTATAGAGGTCTCCAATACTTATCAACAGTCTAAAAGGTAATCACAATGGAAGGAATGACTAGGAATAGATCAGAAATAAAACAGGAGACATCATCAAACAAATTCCTTCTAAAATCCAACTAAATTCTGTGAACTTCCTACAACTTCAAGTATGGACAACAAAAAGGATATAGAAAAAAAAACAGAAAACAGTAACAAAGATAAAACCAGAAGTATTTTGTTTGAAAAAGGAATAAATATCTCAGAGACCTTCAGCTGGGAAGAGAGTTAAATGAAAGAAGAGTATCAGAAAGACCTCTAAAATCAGCACAATACTGTGAAAAAAAGTGTGAATAATCATTCTCTATCTCATAAACCACTAACAAAGAGCAGTTCAAAGAAATAAGCAGTCAGCAGCCTTAAAACAAAACAAAAGAACATACACTTTCACTCCATGTGTAATTAAATCATGAAACAATTACTGCACAATGAAACAAACACCAAAAATATAAATGTATGTAAGAAGGGATTTAGACAAATAATTGTTTAGTATTAAATTAGTATTAAATATGATGATCCAGATGCAACCACTAGCTCAATGGCTGTTAAAATCTGGGAGGCTTTACATAATAAGTTTCTTATTTCCTTCCTATGGAGATGTTGCGAGCTGCCTTTAGAGACAACTGATCCAACTAGATCAACCTTTGAGCTATGATTTTTTTTTCTCTATTTCTTTTTAAGTTTAAAAAAGCCTTCATAATGTAGGTACCTTGGTCTGCACAGGTAAAATCATTTGCTAAGGGTATGAAGTGAATATTTGTTTCTTACAACCTCTTTTTGAAGGTATGTATTTTTTCAGCTTCTACAATATCCTATGGAATGTGCTCCAAACGCATGAGACCCCTGGCAAGACAGTTCCAAAAGTGAAACCAACAGAAACAACCCCCACCCATAAAGCCAAATGTTCCCCTTGCAAACCTACACCTCAGCCTCCAAAATAAAGCTTAAAAAAACCCAAAAGAACCTTTTAATATTTTTATAGGTTAGCTCACCATGAGGTTAAACACATTTTACCTTGGACAAAGAAACAGAATCACAGACCTGTCTGTGGTGGGATGAAGATTACCCTTTCAACAGAGCTGGACATTGGATTGGCTGAGCTAAATCAATCCGTAACCCCACGGTAATATAGATACCTGCTTACATGCTGAGGGGAAAGCTTTAGTTTTCCTAACCTTGCTTAATTCCACATTTGCTTTAAATCAACATAAGGTTAGCTTCTTTTCTCTAGCCCTCCTCTTAACTACAGGTTCGTGGTGTCTTAAAAATGCCAGCACAGGAATTTACTAAGATGAACAGGATCAGAGAAGGGATCTGGCCAAAATCTACGCCGTGTCTCTCCTTCTGCAAATATATCATTAGTTTTCTGTTTGTGTGTTACCACACAACTGCATAAACAGGCACAATGATACAAAGCCCAGGAATGCGTGGCCAGGGCTGGGGCAGGCCTGTGACAGCAGTCTGTACTTACTGAAGCAGCCACTTGACAAAGCAGTAGTCCCAACCCTCCTGCTTTCCCCTCAGAGATTCATTTTGTTACCGCTTTCCCTCTCCCCACTTTTGAAACTTGTGTGACCCCAATGTGAGACATTTCAGTAAACAAAACTGGCAGAAAAACATTCTCTGACAGAGAAGATGTGTATGTGTGTGTATATGTGCATGAGCACATGTAGGTGTATTTTTCCCCCAGTTTTTTGAACTGGTGTATCGCAGGCTGACACGAGCACTAGCGCCGGTGCAAGAAAGGTGAAGTGAACTGGGAAATAACAGACAAGTCAGAAAGCTCCCGTGGCAACAGTCTGATATTAAAACCATTCAGATGTGTCATAAACCCACAACCATCGCTCCGTGAGCTACAAAAAAAAAAAAAGTCACCTTCAACAGAAAAGACTGGTACCAGTTTAACAGAAAAGACTATCATCAGTTAAACTAAATCAGTCCCAAAATAGTAAGCAAAACGACACTCTACCACTTCTTCCCCCTTCCCAAAAATCTCAGTTGGAGAAGAAACAAAATGTTCCTGAATTACCACACAGGGTACAGTAGCAGAACACAGCTGGCCTTCACAGACAGTGGTTCCTCAGTGGAAATCGGGGAGAGAAAAACCTGCATATTTGTATTAAGATTTTGTAGGAGAAAAAAAAACCAACTCCTTTAGAAATAAAAAAATACTTAGCATCAAAAATTTAAATACTTCACGCTATTTTTGTGTATCTTGATACCTACCAAAAACCCCAAGGATTCTACCATTGATCACCTTCACAGGAACTTAAAACAACTCTCCTACTAACAAGCTGAGTCTATAAAATATTACAGGACTCATATAAACCAATTTAAATGTTCAAAGTAGAATATCTCCTGAATCAAACTAATTTAGCATGAATAATAAACTGGGTTTAGAAGCCTTGATAATATTACAGAATCAAATAATAAATAAAAATACATAAAAATAAATACATAAAAACCTAGAAGATTGAATATTTGGCAGAGTGTACTCACTAGTTCTTAAAAATAGACTATGAACAAAAGTATCTGCCATTCAAATCAAAGTATTTTTAGAAGTGCATATAATTGTAGTTATTCATTCTCATTCTTAATGGTGACACTTATGAAAAACAGTACCACATTTAATCTGATACCAGGCACGCTTGTTCATGAACAGAGCACTCTTCAAGGTTTTTGTGTCCCACAGAATCAGAGAATGGCTGGGTTGGAAAGGACCTTTAAAGGTCATCTAGTCCAACCTGACCTTAAACGGTTCCAGGGATGGGGCTTCCGCCATCTCTCTGGGCAACCTGGTCCAGTGCCTCACCACCTTCTCAATCAAGAATGTCTTCCTAAGAGCTGATGTAAATCTCCCCTCTTTCAGTTTGAAACTGTTACCCCTCATCCTATCACTACCCTCCCTGATAAAGTCCCTCCCCACCTTTCCTGTAGCCCCCTTTTAAGCATTGGAAGGCCACTCTAAGGTCTCCCTGGAGCCTTCTCTTCTCCAGGCTGAACAACCCCAACTCTCTCAGCCTGTCCTCACAGGGGAGGTGCTCCAGCCCATAGATCATCTTTCTGGCCCTCCTCTGGACCTGCTCCAACAGGTCCATGTCTGTCCTATGCTGGGGCCCCCAGAGCTGAACACAGCCCTGCAGGTGGGGTCTGACCAGAGCAGAGTAGAGGAGCGGAATCCCCTCCCTCGACCTGCTGGCCACACTTGATGCAGCCCAGGATGTGACTGGCTTTCTGGGCTGTGAGCGCACGTTGCCGGGTCATACTCAGTGTTTCATCCACCAACACCCCCAAGTCCTTCTCCGCAAGGCTGCTCTCTATCCACTCATCGCCCAGCCTGTATCTGTGCTCGGGATTGCCCCAACCCAGGTGCAGGACCTTGTACTTGGCCTTGTTGAACTTCATGAGGTTTGCACAGGCCCACCTCTTCAGTCTGTCAAGGTACTTCAACACTTCCACAGAAGAAAATCTACCACTTTTATTCAAACTGTATTTACTCTGTGGGTTAATGCAAGCTTTCAAACTTCTAAAGCTGTAAATCTATTACCTTTCATATGCCTCCCAAGCAAGCATTACAGAAAAGGAACATGGGGGAACAATCAATGTTGTCCAATTGTCCTTTCTGGGAAGTTAAGAACTAACTGATCTGTTTGTTAGAAGGGATTTTGAAGAGATCAATTTAGTCCTAATCTACTGAACATGTGATGTAAAGCAGTGTCCCAAACCTAAACAGTATATAGCAAACTGTTAATGTGATCCTTTTAAAAGCATCTTTCATTTAAGAAGGGAGACATACAGTCTGAATATTTCCTCTATACTGTGGATAAAATACAGCTAATTCTTAAAGCCTTTTCTACTTTTTCTGATTGACAGAATGCTTATCTGACACCTTCAACAGGATTTTACTGCACTGGACACAAAAAGGGGTATTTCCATGCATCTTTAAAGCTAGGTAAGAGTTGGCTACAGAATGATAATGTTTGCAGAAAGATGACTAAATTTTGATAGTGCTTAAACACTTTTAAACTTTACTTTCAACTTGACTGTACAGGTGATCTAGCACACAGAAAGCAGGGGAGAAGGCAGAAATGTTTCATCTATTCATATTCTTTAACAGCAATCTATAGCAATAACTCACCTCTTCAGCACATAATAAATCTCCAGAAAAATGGAATAGAAGACTATGAAAAATCTTCATAAAAACTCTGGACATTAAAGTATTACTGAGGAAGGAGAATAGCCTAAGAATTGCTAGTGACATTAAAATATAGTTAGACCATGGAAATTAATGAAAAAGTAGAAGAAAAAGCAATGAAAAATAAATTAAAACATAATTGTATTAAATAAAGTATGTTTCTTTTGAATCTTCAAAGAGTTAACCGCTTATATAATATCTTCTAGAATTTTCAAATTCTGAAAAATAGGATGATTATTTGTATCTGTCTTAACAGCAATGACTTTTTTATTACACATATTCTAGCTGGGAACTTGAATATAATAAGATTATTAATTGTCAATCAAATGAATGAGAGTACCTTCAAAAATAGCTGTAGGCTCACATTTGACCATAAATCCCTTTGGTTCATTAAAGCCTTTTGAATGTAACGTGCATTTGGAGCACAAATTGCTCCAAAATTGAAGTTGTTTTAATATTTTGAGTCACTCAAAAAGCATATGTGTAAAGAAAAGCCAAACTTTTTGTTGTCTGAAGAAAAGTTTTACTAGGTAGTAATTAAGGTCCCAATCTCCCCTAGATTTTCATTTCCTCTCCTGAATCACATGCTTACTACATTTTCTTCACGATCTGTATTTACTATTATCTTGTTTGCCTCTTTAGGCTAGTTTCCTAAGGAAATGGGTCTTTGACTGCACTCTCTACAACGTCTTTCCTTCCCCTCTTGAAAGTTCTTCTCATCCTTGCCTGAAATGTAAAGATCTCAAAGACAAAACTTCTTACAAGGTGCATAAAATTTAGCACCTGGAGAGAGGAGACCCCACTTAACAGCTGTTCCCAAAAGCCCGGAGGAAGGGAGGATGTATGCATAAATCCATAAACTAACACCTGTATGAACCCATTTAACAACAGCTACATGAGCCCCTCAGCCAGCCATCCCATGTTGCCCTTTGCCCAGACGAAGGAGCAGAGGCGTAAGGGGAGCCTCACGTGTGGCAGTGAGGAGAATGGGCACCAGTTAGGGGAGAAGCTACATGCAGTGGGAAACAGGCAAAAGATCTGGGAGACACAGTGGGAAAATGAGAGTTTAGCAACAGCTAGGAAACAGCCCGGGGTTACACCACACCAGAGAAAGGGGCCGGTGGCTAGTGAAGCAAAGCAGCACAGATCTCAAACCACCCTGAAGCCAAGTTTCCACATTTCCAGTGCTCACCAGTCCTCTTCCACTTTCCCCGACATTTACAATATTGCAAGACCAAATTTTTAACAGCTCAGTGTAAGTCCAAATCCTGTGTGGTGTGATATTTCTCAAAACAACGTATGTGAAGGTGGTTTTTACTTGACTTCTAGGCACACGGGATATTCATAGGTGAACTCATCCAGCTTCCTCTACCATCACAATTACAAATGCATTTTAGCAAAGTCCAAGCATATCACAGATCTCAATATCAAAAGATATTAAAGAACAACACAGAAAATCCAGCTAGCTTCCAATCCACAACAATAAAATAAATAAATACAATCTAGTTGTTCTGAGAGCTATAAGCAAAACAAATATCCAGAAATGTTAGCAATAATGAAAAGGAGAACAATAAAGCTACAAAGCTGAAAATAATGCACAAAACTATTAAAAAGGGATTCTGTCAGTCAGGTGAGTGAATGTTTCATATAAACACAGGCATATGCAAGCCTATTTTTAAAATAAATAGTTCGAAATTATTCCAAAATCCTTTGATGAAAAGATACTATAGAAATTTATGGATGAAGAGTCTGTTAAATACTCTACAGGAACTTTATTTGATTTTCAGATATACATACATATTTTTGTCAAACTATTTCTATGCATAAATATTAAGTTATATATATACTAAGTTGCTTGTGTTTTCATAAACAAATTTCATTTATCATAAAAATACACACAAATCAAGAGCTGTAATAAAGATATTACAGGGGAAAAATATTTTCCTGTTCTTTGGTCACTTTTTTTTTCATTTTCTTCTTTAAAACTATTCACAGACTAAACATAACTGATGTTAATGCAGATAACTACACCCAGGCCCAGCATTTGTCATACCTATGAAGAAATGCGACGGTAGTTCTAAAATTACGTAGCTGCCAGATGCAGAGATTCTGTATCAAGATAATCAAATAATACTAAATATTAAACATCCTAAGCAGTTCAGACTTAGACCAATGACTATTTCATACAGTGTCAGCATGGACAAAACCAAATTTGATTCTTTATTTGGTGATTCTCATTACCTGGAATAGCTTCATGGGCTGTCAAAACCACACTTATAATAGGATTTTTAGCTCCTGAAACCTGTTCAGTCTCCTTAGTTGACGGAGTTTTCTCTGTTTTCTGAACTCTGGGTCTCTTTGGAGTTTTTTCTCGCTCATCTTCCTTCCTGTCAAGGTCAACGTCAGAATCATTACCTAAAGAGCAAACATCAAAAAGAATGTAACTATGTACAAAAGAAATGCAAGTAACACAGTCACTAACAGTACAAGAAAGAATTAGGAGAAAATTAGTGCTACTGTAGAAAGAAACACACGTTATCAAAACAAGATGTGCTGATGAAGTCCCTAAAGGGGAACATTTTTCCTCCTATTTAATAAAACTAGTGTAATACTTATACAAATAGAGAGAATAAACAAAATAAAAAAAAAAAAATCAAAATTTTAAAAATGGACTCCTAGAATCATTTGTGTTCCTAAACTACCTTGATATTATTGTGGATTTTTGTGAAAATGTACAAACTTTGTAGAATTTCTTATCATTTCATCATTAATGAACAAATTCTTTTTCTCCTTTCCATATGTAATTTGATTACTTTAGGCTTATTTCTCCTAGTTTTGGATTCATAATCCATCTGATTTAATGGAAAGTCTTCCAACAGTCTGGATTAGGCTTTTTTTTCCCCACTGTTGTTGTGAATAAATAGCCAGAAACACAGTTTTCTTTTTCAGTGTTGATTCAAGAATAATTACGGTTCAAAACAGTTCTTTGGTTCAACCTAACTCCTGACATGTAACTCTTCGTTTTGAAGACCTGCACTTCTAAATCATTGCCTAACTGTCGCTGTTCAGAATGTCTTCAGTCTCCTAAACTGGGTAACTTTTGGACCCATTAACTAGAAAGCAACGCCATAGTTGTACTCAAAACACTTATTTGAAAAAAGAATGAATAATCAGTAATCAGCTGAGTTGTTCCTTGAAGCTACTTCTTCCTTAAAGCAAATGAGGAATTTCTTTCTGAAATTCTAAAGAAAATTAATAAAAATGCTTATATATAAAGAATTAGCAGCATAAAGACTAAAAACAGAGGGCTGCAAGTTTATAAGAACAAAATTTCTGTATATTAGATGAAGTGGTAGTAAATGCAGGCTAAAGGAAACAAACTTGGCAAATGAAGACATTATGCAAATGTTCTAGAGGTAATAGGTAAGGAAAGCAAAAACTGATGGAAGAATATTATAAATTAACCCAGCGAATTTCTTCCCCCAGCTCCCGCCCTGATTCTAAAGCAGCTGACAATCTCCAGAATAAGTCACTCAATGTATATTCATAATATGCTGTAGCTGCTCTACTGAGATAGGGAAACAACATATAAATAAAACCCAGTAACAGCAAAATTGTAGTGTGTCTAGAGTTGTTTATGACCTGCAAATAGCAAAAACAATGGAAAGAGACGCTACATGGAAATGGCTGTGTTTTAATTTCAGTAATATTTTGTTAAGATTGAGCTGAGATTCAAACAAGTCTGTCTCCTGTCGTCTTACCTTAATGGAACAAAGTGTTAAAGAGTGCTGGCTGTTCCTTAAAAAAATGAAGGACACAAGCACAAACTAAAGTAGCATAGCTAGCACTGATCATGTAACCATCACCTGGATAAACTGCAAGCTCTTTACTAGATACAAAACCAGAAGGAAACAAGAATGTAGGAACTAGTTTTAGATTTCTCAGGCATACTGACAACTGTTAATGACCTGCTGCTAATCTGTAAAACTGAAATTTATATTTACAATACTTAGAATGAGCAGCAAGTACATAGTAAACTGAACTCAAACGTAGGTGGCAAGCCATCTTTCTACGGAGTCACGTTAGCACGTTTTTGCCCCAGTGTCTAGATTATAGAAAATTATGCTCTGCCTTGAGAGCTCCCTGCTTTTCAGTGTCTGCTAATGACTTCTTCAATTTCACTAGATACATTCCTTGTCAGATGCCTCTTCTCCACTGGCTTTTTCTCTGTAGATTTCTATGATTTTGGAAAACATTGCTGGTTTATAGGTGTAAAGGGTCTCATTATGTCCCCATTTAACTTCTTAATATAGTTGTAAATTATTAATTGATATTGAAACCACGTAATTCTAACACCAGCATTTCTCTGCAATACTTTGAAGGGATATTTGAATATAAAGAAATATGCCCTTCAACCAGAAACTGCTTGTGCAGTGTTTTCTTTTGGTGTGATGAACGGCAGTGGGAGGAAATAAACAGAGTTTTCCACATTTCCTTCATGAAACCGCCTCTGTTACTTTATCAACAATAAAACAAATCATCACAAATTTCACAGCAGGACGAGGCCACCAACAAGAAAGTCTTTTCATAAAGAATCAGAATATGCAAAGAATGTAGGCTGCTTATTAAATTGTGTTTCCCTGAGGCTACTTCACATACTGTTAAACAACAAATGCAAAAATTAATTAGGTTAATTACTCATTTTCTTCAGTGGATGGTAAGAGTTAGTGGTAGTATTAGGGGAAAAAAATTATTTTATATACCTGTGGACAAAACTCTGAGGAATTTTTTGCGTGTTTTAGCTAAAAGAAATGCAGAATTCTAGATTGAAAGGGAAGTTGTGATGAGGACAACAGAATTTTCTCCATTTTGCCTGGGATCACGTAATGAATTTTGGTACACACATGAGTAGAATATAAGCACCCTACTCCTAAATCCTCCTTTCTAACCATTACAAAGTAAGACTTAGTCAGTTTAATGAGGAAATGAAGTTAAACCAAATGACAAAATCATTTTATTGCCTTTTCATGCTTTTCATGTCAACCTGTAACTCTATTAACTTTTAAATATTGGAATTCTACTAAAAAAATCGAAAAGGAAGAAAAGGACAAACCACAGACTTGAGTTTGTTAGGGATCCACACTAATGAATAACTATTACCACAGTAAAAAGCTAACAAATGTTTCATGCTGGTTTTTTCTTCCCTAATGTGCCTCTATCAGGCAGATCAGTTTGCTAGTTCCTGAAGTTTGACCAAAGGTAAAAGCTGTGGAACAGAACAGACATGTTACAATAAATACAGTTCGCTATGACTCCTTGCTTTCAATGAATTTTGCCAAAAATGCTATTTTAAAATATTTTAAAATAACATAAGGAATTGCAATATAAAAATATTTCTTTATTAAAATGTTGCTGGTTCATATGCATAGAAACCTTGTACATGGATGCTAAGCACTAAATATGAAGATTATGGCCATGTGAAAATATTCTTAAGAAACCCAAAGCTGGTAAGTACTTCAATCAAAGGACTGAATCCCAACTTCCCTCTTAGTACGAGCTGAGAACATCCAGCTACTAACAGGAGGACTGCATTCAGTATCTGCAAAGATGTGAGGAAGGTATTGAGTGCCATGCAAATTCCATTAACACAAAAAAGCCCACACATATATTGGCCAAAAGCAGGCAAGCAAGAAAATTCAACTCAGTTGATGATCATACATCTTCAACTAGTGATGAATATTTGTATGAACATTCTCAACATTCACAGGATGCATTAAAAAAAAAAAAAAAAAGGTCTCTTCCCTACAGAGCAGTCAAGTCAAGTTCCAACACTTAAACGTTAAAATTCATCCACTAATCTGATCCATCTTGATGGCACACCAAACAACAACCAAAAAATTAACTCTCAGTGACAGCTGCTTTCTTCCTGAACACTCTCCCCACCAAAAACCCTGAACTAGAAGGTGTGCTTTAGGAAAGGATTACAAGGGAGACAAAAGCATGTTTTAATTAAAAACAAGAGGTTCAACTTGGACCACAGGGCTCAAACTGCCTTTCCATAATATGGGACCATATCAACAGTAATTCAGTCGTCTTCCTGGAAGAAATCACTTACGAGTTAACATTATGGATTGGAATGTCAAAATAAGTATTTTGTCTCTCGCAACCAGGACACTTCACCTGTATAATACAATTCTTGCTGTATTATAAAGGAACACCCGTAAGTGATTTTAAGATGATTTATGAGAAAATGGAGTATACGCGACTTAGAACAGCTAAGCAAAGTTTCTCCAAGCAGTAAGGGTCTTTGCTTGCTCCTAACCAGATTTATTTAGACAAACTGCCTCACTTTGCATTTCCCTTGCTAAGCAGTCAGCTTAGCACTTTGTCAACTGGCAGTTCAATTCAACAGAATAATAAACTGACCTCCCCTATCTAGTGACAGGCATTTTAAAGGCCTGCTTCTGCTTGTGCAAGAAATACAACGCTGGGCCTGTGCCTTCTAACACGTTTAAGAAATGGTCATGTCTGTGCCGATGAGTAAAGCTGCTGTCAGCTCTGAACAAATCACTGCCTTCAGAGTCCCGTCGAACTAGATTATTCATCTGTCCCATGATTCTATTTGAGTCATTAATTGAAGGTACTGCTCTCTGCATTCATAATTGGATGTACGACATTTTGCAAGCACAGCTACATATCCCTAATTGGCATGTTTTTAAACTACCCTTCATTCAAATTACTATTTTTTATCCCCTAAAAGATGTTGGTATTTCATAGTAGCAAGAGAACAGCTTAAAAAAAATAAATTGGCCATTTAAAATGAACACATGCAATTGTATCTCCTGCAGAGACTGACATACTACTCCCAGAAAGAACTCATTTAAATTAGAATCCAGCGGATGGCAAAGCCAGTTTAAACTAAGGCCAAAAGTGCCATCTTTAAGAATTATGCAGGCTCCTACTTCAGTAGGAATGAATGGTTCACTCCAGAGAAGAGAATCTGTCCACTGCTGTAATCTGTCTTCCAGCCAAATCCCATTCCCCAGCCATCAAATAGCCTCCCCTATATCTGCCAGAGATGCCCACTGCTGCAGTGTGGGAGAGGGACGGTGGTTAAAATAACTACCTGTTGTCTGCCTCTCAAAATGAGCAAGTTCAGAGGCAGCTGCTGGAGAACTGATCCAATCCAGCAACAGCCAAAACCCCCAAACCCATCCCAGAGGCAGAGGCTGAAGCAGCTCCGTTTCCTGGCTGGGAGCTGACACAGTGAAGACACGTGGCTGTTCAAGAAGAAGCTCAACTCTTCTAGTTTTGTCTTAGGACAAAAAAGAATGGATGGCAGTACCACCAGCCAGCCAGATCCAAATCATGAGCCAAAACCATCAATTTGGTTTAACCAAATAAAACCAGAAATAGGTGTACGCACAGCTCTGCCTAAATCACAGCAATTTTCTCAGGCAAAAAAATTTATTTATTGAGCACGTACATGGGGCATTGCATGTAAGCAGAATGGACATTTTTTAATTCTGTGCAAAAAAGTAACACTTTTTTCTTGCTGTTTTATTGAATGGGCCCACAGGGTGAAGGCAATCATTATGCATCACAGGATTAGACTAGATGCTCAGAGGATGTCGGTAACCAGTAAGGCTTGGTGACTCCTGAAAGACTGGGAGAACTATCAATGAGACACTGATCTCCAAGAGGTCAATGTGGATCACTAATCACAGAAGCAAAGAACAGCAGAGGCCTATTACATCCATCAATTATTCCTCTGACCAATACATACTGCAGTTTCAATACAGTTTTACAGTGATTTATCCACTGTAATTTTAAATGTCCAATATGATAAGGACTTCAACACTTCCCTTGTGGATCTGTAAAACACAGCAAAACATTTTATTACTTGGAAACCTTTCCTAATGTTTCAACTTCAGCTCAAAACATACATTATGTTTCTCTCAATAAAAAATAACACACAGAATATCAATATATATCTTTCCAATATTTATATGTTTAGCATATTTTAGCAACAGCTAAAACACTATTTTGGTCACAAACCTAAAACACCACATCATAGGAGCTGCTACGAAGAACATTAACTCCAGCCCAGCCAGACCCAGTGCAAAGTGAAAACATGCTTGATTATTAATCAGATGTCCATACAGTGCTAAACTTTGCAAGAAATGAAAAACTTGAGAGGGCAGTAAAAAAATACTGCAGAAAAATCCCAGAAGCATTAGAAAACCAGATAACAGTAATTTCATATTGGAAACACATTGATAAAAAGGGGGGAAAAAATCAACCTATGTATCAGGTAAGAGGTCAAAGACTAAGGAAGAAGAACTTGCAGTCAAAGTTCCTTATGATTTTTAGCCAATTACTGTGTCTGAAAAGTGAGAGAAGATGCTATTTTCATCTACGTATTCAGAAACCGAAAAATTGTCCCAAAGCAGTTCATATGGTAAAGCCAGAAGTGAAAAGCTTTCCTGTGATGGGACAGTAATCAGCAGACAGCTGAAGACTGAATTTGTAGATATATTCCAAGCAAGAATTATCCCTTCAGGATATAAACAGGCCCCAATACCTTGACAGTTTGCAGTCAAGGTGGGAAGCTTTGGGCTGGAGACATTCTAGCTGTACTAATCACCAACAACTGGAAGCCCTCGGTATCTGCTTCTCAGGAATGACTGACGTTGCTTGATGGGTTTGCTTTTGTCAGAGGATAAATAAAAAACATTTCATCTGCCCAAAACTTAGACTATTTTCTTTTTAAAGAAGGAAAAGGATGAACAATTTACTTTGAAAAATCTGCCAGTGTGTTTTTAGCAAAACAGATCAAGGTAAGATTTAGGATGTCTAATGAGCTAACAGGTCAAGAACAGTTAATTTCAGTTTATACTGATCTGAGATTTTATTTTAAAAGGACTAGATGATCTTTCAAGGTCCCTTCCAACCCCTAACATTCTGTGATTCTGTGACATTAGAAAAGGCCACATCGCCGAAACAATGCAAATGGAACATCGTACTTAGCACATTCAAACAGCAAAGGGCACGGACACTTGTGGTGTCAGAGGTGAGACAGCTGGAGTAAAGGTCACTATGTATAGTTGAAGAATCCTACCACTGATGATAGTAAAAAAATAACCAGATACTTTATCAAAGCAAGAGTTTCTGTGCTCTGTCAACATATTCTAAGCCTATTTTAATTAGTCTTTGCCACATAAATTAAAACTGTACATCTCACTGAAAGTAAAATAGTCATATTAGTTGTGTATCATAATGACAGATTGGATACAAAAGGGTAATAGAAAACTGGAGAAAAGTCAACGGCGAATTTTGTCTACAAGTAGAATCAACAAGGTATCACGCTAAACAACTATAGCAAAAGCGAAAACCTAATTTTAATGCAAATACAAAACTCACGCAAAGTTGGGAAACTTTGACAAATGAATTACTTTGCATACATGTGACATTCATAGTTGAACAAAGTTAAACAGCCAGTTGGACTAGGTGATCGTTGTAGGCCCCTTCCAACTATTCTATTCTATATGAATATTTACTGATTTTTTAAACAGGCTTCCTAGAGGGGTGATTAATGCCCCAAGTCTGCCAGTATTTAAGAGTTATTTGGACAATGCCCTTAATAACATGCTTTAACTTTTGGTCAGCCCTGAAGTGGTCAGGCTGTTGGACTAAATGATTCATTGTAAGTCCCTTCGAAATGAAAATATTTATTCTGTTCTGTTCTATTCTATTCTAAAACTTTGAGAGGCTGAATATATTCAAAGCAATTTTAAAGCTGAATTTAAACAATTAACTCTTCATACTCCAACGACAGTCATTCACATAAAGTTGTGTAAAATCGAAGAGGTGAGTTTGGCATTATTTTTCATACAGTACAACAAGCCACCCAGAAAAACAGTCTTTAAATCTATCAAAAGAACAGGACAGAATTCAAGTTTCCCATATCACAGGATAGAAACACCTCTACAGGCTCATCCTTCCTCACCTGTGTGTGATACTTACTTATGTGGCCCACAACACTTCTCACTGGAAAACCATAATCTTCTGTGAGAAAGAACAGTTGCTTATGCCAAAGAAGCATTTCAGGGAGTTTAAGACAATCATTAGTGCAATAAACATTTTGAACTTTTGGAAAAAAATTAAAATACCTTGTCTGACTTTATTCTCAGTTTTGCTTCAACGTGCTTTTTTGTGTTAAAAGAAACAGACAATTCCATTCCATTTAAAATTAACCCTGGGGATTACGAGTTGTTACCAATCAGGTCACAGGATGGAAACGCACTGTTTCACAACATGCTTCAGATATTTTTGTTTGACATTTTCTTACCTCCATCTCCTTCCTCCTCTCCTTCATTTAAAACAATAATGCAGATATGTTTCCTCAGCTGACGCGTGTTGGAGAACTTCCGATTGCATTTCCTACATTCCAAGCTGCCTGGTGAGACTTCAGACAGTTCTGGTGCTTCTTCTGTCCCAGGTGGAGTTTCTTCACTTGGAACAGGGTTATTTTCTGCCACATCTTCATCCGTACAAAACTTCTTAGTAGACCCTTTTGGTCTGCCCCTTTTCCTCTTCACTACAAGAAGGTCTAGAAAAGAAAGCTATAATTAAATTCCACAGCTAATTAGCTAATATCCATCTGACCTTTGAAAAACATGAATATTAAATAAAGTTTGAGAGCCTCTATCCCTAAAGCTGAAAAAAAAAGGTTAGCTTGACACAAACTTATTTTTAAGCAGTGGTATTTGTTGGCATTTCTGCTAGCTGCAAAGCAGCAACATTTGTGTTACTGAGATCGGCAGATGTCAAAGTGGCACAGTTTTACAGAAATTACACTGCAAGCGCTCTTTGAGATTGTTGTATATTTGCATGCATATTCTACAAAGTTGCTCTGCTGTGTTCTGACACTCTACAAAAAAGTCTTTTTAAGTGAAATCACTCTCAAAGAAATTCCTTAAACTGAGATATATTCAGAGAAAAACAAGTTTCTCTTTAAAAACCGAAAGTTCATTGTCATTTTAGTAAGTTGAACAGTTACTCTCTAATTTCCTGTCATTCTTTATTGTTAGCACTTTCTAGCCAAAAGTTGTTATAAAAAATTGTTGGCAACAAATAAATTCCAGAAGTCATGCAAAAATATGTTTCCTTAATGAGTACTTCAAATAATTAAAATCAAAAGTAATCCACATTTCTTAATAAACACAACATAACTTTACATCTCCGTATTTCTGTAGAGGGAACATGGATAAAATCAATGAGGTGTAGTGAACACAGAAATGCATAGCAATGTAAAAAACATCACACTCGTATTTCCTGCTTAAGACTCCTCTCATCACTGCTGTAGTTACTTCAAAAGCCAACTTGCTGTCACCCACCCACAGACATAACTGTTGACTTCACTGACCAAACCAACTAGATAACAAAGAAAACTTTTAGTCAACAAAAGCAGATACTCAGAAGGTAGGGGGGAAACTTCTGGATAGCAGTGAAGTTACTGTGGGAGATTTCATCCTAGCTATAAATTACTTCTATCTAATAGCTTAAGACAATGAAAAGAATCAGTCTCTATCTTTCTTGCTAATCTCAGGCGTTGCTTGATTGGTTTTTTACTTCTTTATACTTGGCTTCCTGAGGAATTATCCAATTGTTATTGTATAGAATTTGTATATTTGTTATTGTGTACTGAACTTGCTCTTCTGCAAGAAACTATCAGTTCACAAACAGCAAAGCATGGTAGCGTTTACACGATTGTTTTGAGTCTGAGCAGACACCTGGTGAAGTATCATACCTACTCAGCGTAGAAGGAAAAATTAGCATGCATCAAAACGAGCTTGCCTGATGGTGTATGGAGAAACAGGACAGAGTCAGGCTTCTTCCAGGCTTTTAGGATTCATCTTATCTAATGTTAGACACTTGAGCTCTCAAATTAGTTAATATTTGTCCTCTATATCTAAGGAACAGAGAAACCACTCTTCAGAGTGCAGTTCAGATCACCTAAGCTGTGAATTGTCTCTGGATCCCAGGGTGACTTAATATCCCAGTTTAAGAACCTTCAGTTATGTGCAGCGAATTCCAGCTTTGAGAATTAAAAGGTAAAAGAGCCTGATGTGGTCATCGTAATTGCAAAAAAAAACCCGGAGTATAATGTGCATTAACATGTGCTAAGTGAAACAGAACAGGAATGAAGCACCTGTCAGCCATCATCTTTGTAACATCAGAGACAGACAAAGGACTGGCACATACAAAAATTTTGCCGAGAACTCTGTTTTTAACGCTCAGGAAAAACCACACAAACTCAAAGCGAAGCAGTCCCTTAAAGTCTTTTTACACTAAAATACTTCCAAAACTTGAGACTTGTGCAAAAATAAAAAATAAAATTATTCTCCTCGGAACTTTGTATTTTCACTGTTGGTTTGGGCTTCTTTGTTTGTTTGTTTGTTTTTCACAGCACAGATGGTAGAAGTATGAAATATGTCTTCTGGGTTCCAAGACAGAAATGCCCAGTAATTAAGCAATTCTTGCCGTTCCAAAGGTTTGAAAGTATCATGAGATTACTCAAGCTAAAAGAGACTGGCAGTACTACACATGTTTCTCCTGCTGCTATTCCAGAAACTTTCACCAAACCAGTGTGTATCAAGAACAAAGGTTAAGAGGTGTCTAACGTTTTTATCAAGTATTCATCAAGCCGACAGCCTACCTTCTGCCTGATAAACTGATACTGACAATGTAAAAGTCTGAAAAAATCATGAAAGGAGAGAATATTAAAAAAAAGAAAAAACACATAAAACCAAACCCCAAATAATTTTCAAGCACATGTGCCAAAAGACCTTACTAAACTGGGTGACTTAGAGCATATGGAAAAATAAATGACCTCAAGGAATCTTAAGGGAAGACGACGCAAGAGAACAGGAGGTGCTGGCAGCTTCTGATTCAAAATCTGTTCAACATTTCCCTTAATATACCAGACAAACAAAAACCACACACAGGGAGTATAGCTTTGAGTTAATCATGTAATTAATATCAAGTGAAAAAGAAAGCATTCTGTCTTGTTATAAAAGTGGCGGAGCACTTGTCTGCTTAAATATAATGTAGTAAGAACACTAAAAGCCTCGTTATGAGTAGGAAAAGAGCAACCTTGTCACCTAAGGTTTTGCAGCCCTCCATCAGCAGTGTTCTGAATGTGTGTGCTACTGCACTCCACCGAATTATCGGCCAAAAGGACAGGGGTGATTTCAGTGCTCTCAAAACTTCTCTTTGCTACCATTCCTTATTTTGATATCCATCAATCACAGCAGTCGGTATTTGGTGCCTTGAGTTAAAGAAATTAACACGCAATTAAATCAAGCAAACAAACATTTATCTTCCTGTCAACCTGTAAAAAGGTCACAGTTTGACAATGTGTCAAACCTAGTATGAGGAATACAGATGTGGATACTGCTCAGGTTACTATGAAGTGATTAAATCCCAGGATCTGAAGAATGAACGCAACCACCATATTCCCTGTGTACGATATTCTTTTATTCTTTTACAACGCGATCATCAGATTACCCAACAAAAAGAAATGAAGCAGCATCAGGTACAAGAGGGATGTTCTTCCTGACTGTTTTAATGTAAACTGAATGAACACCAGAACAGCACTTTCACACTAAAGACAGAAGTTGAAACAAAATCTTGTATGCAAGTGGAAACGTGACAACTGCTCCTTTAGAAGGCTGGCGGTAGAACCTCTTCTATGGCCTACAAAATTGTAGTTCTCATCGCTGCGACTACTAACGGTGCGGCAAACATAGAAAGAATCTCTAGATTTTGCAACTGTTTGTAAATGAGCCTACCAGTAGAAGACTTTACAGCAGTTCTCAAATATTTATAAAGGCTTGGTGGCAGGCACTGGGTAGCGACTTACCCAGGAACAGGAGGACTCATGTGGGCAACTGATACATCACCAGGACTTCCGAGGCTTATGACAGTCATTACATTTCCTTGCTCCTTGTTTTCCTCTTTCCACAACAAAACATACCTCAAGCTACTTTGAGTTAGCAATGCGGAATTAATTTTTTAATGATGCACACGACCATAAATTCCAGCTGTTTCTCTCTCTCCAGCTTGCCACCAGCTAGCAATTCATGCTGCATTGTACTAATCACAGTTCAAAGCACCACCCAAAATTAACAATACGCAGTAACTGAATAGTAGCATATCGTCATTCATCTGTTAGTACACAACCAAGTGAATCAGAAACATCATCACTTGTGAGAAAAAAGAATCTGCCTAACTGTCAAAAATAAAGTAGTATATTAAATTAAAAAACACACCCAACAAAAAAAACAATCAACACTTATTTCAAGGATGCTTAGTCAGAAGTAGAAGTTTTAAATTGGTCATTAAAAAGATTTTAAAAGTAAGATCCTGTTCCCCCAAGAACAACTTAGTTGTTTCTGGGGATTTTACACTCATCACAGACTCACTGAAACTCATCTTTATGTTGACTGGTATGGGATGAGCAATGGTAATATTTGGGGAAGATATTCTGTGCTATGCTATATAATTATGTACTCAGAGACATAAAAAAGGCACTTCAAAAACAGAAGAATGAAATAAACTGTATGTCTATTTTTATACTGTTCCTTCATAGGAATTATTCACATAAGCATCTCCAAATCAGTCCATTTAATAATCAATTGTCTCAAAAATATTCAGAACATGAGTAACACAGAACATTTCCATTTATGAGGCCTTCATGCTATTATACAGCAGAATTATATTTAATTAATCCCATGAAGTTTAGCTAAGCTATATATATATATATATACACAATCACAATCAGAGTCTATTGAGGTCTGTGATTGTTTCAATTACTTAATTTTTTTTGGATCATGCTACATAAAAGTAGAGGTTCACAACCAGACCTCCAGAGCATTAGGCCCTAGGCAACATTTTTTTAAAGTTCACTTTTAAAATAAAACAAATTTCAAGAAAAGGAAACATAAAATTAAAGTAACAGCAACTTCACTGTTGAGTATTTTTAACTCTTTGTAGATTAGACTGTAGACCACATAGATCCTGGCACGTCAGCACTGTGGATTCCACTGGGCTTAATGATCCTCAGTACAGTGTCTACCTCAAAACCAAGCTTTACCAAAACTGATTGACTAAAGGACAACACCCTCCAAGGGTAGTTGACTGGTATGGGATGAGCAATGGTAACATGTCATCAATATTTTCCAAAGTTATTTTGTTATGTACAGGAAAACACAATAAATGGTTAAGACTATACACTGTAAATATATCATAGATTTTCCTCCTCTGGTTTTGTACCCCTCAGCCTTAACTCAATCACACATATAAATAAAGTTACAAAATGTCTTCAATAAAACATACCTCTGACTCTAGAAGAGTACGAGCTGTAAGATATCCCTGTTAAATGGTCATCCCATCCACAGCCTTACACTGTTACTGTTCTGTATGTGTACAGATCACGGCACCTAGGAACACCTCTCATCCCCCAAGCGTGAATGCACGCTCTAGTTGTATCCTGCGTTCAAGTGAGGATGAGGCTGATGCACATGCCACAGTTTAAAGTGACCCTAATGAGTTAAACCCCTTGGAGAAAATTATGATACCCTGAACGTAACTTTCTTCAAGATTTCATGATCAATACAGCGTGTATCCCGTAACGCAGATATAGCCTAAACCAAACAACAATTCATCAGGGAATAATATTATGAACAGGTGAAGCTAGGGCCATTGATGCTGTCCTGCAAATCATTACCAGTCTGACTAAGTAGAAGTGAATAAAAACCAGCAGAGAGTTTTGACAAGCACTCTGAAGGAGACAGAGATCGCTGTGAAAAGTTATGAAAGGAAAGCCTATGCAAAAGTGGAGTATGAGTGACTACAGTTAACCAGTAAATACCTGTCCTTTCCCAAACAAAAACAGCTCCAGCGCTGGACAAAATGTGACCTATGCATAATTTGCAAACCAGCAACATCTGCCTGGTACCCTTGGTTCCACTTGATAAAAAAATTCTAACATCACCCTGCCAAAATGGTTGGGACAAATCGACTCCAAATAGATTATGACCTAACTATGGGAAAGTGGCATGACTAAGTAAAATTCAGCAGAGAGCACTGCCAAGCATTTTACTTGTTCACAGTACTTCTAAAATCATTAATTTATTAATCAGGCAGAACAAATAGCTCCATTAACAACCCAGCATTCACTTGTCTATACCAATTCTGGAGTAGCTATAGTGCTTACCAATATTTAGAAGAGAAACTATGCTTTCCAAGGACAAAAAGATGTTCACCTATCAACCAACGAGTATTAAAAAGAAGCTGTAATTTCTACAACTGTCACTCATCAATCACTTCTCCTTTCAGTGACAATACAGAATTACTATGAAGAAGGGTCCACTGAGATAAAAATTGTATATTATAAAGTTTTATCTGCTGCAGATTCCATAACAGGAGAGAAAAAATTGATGTCTTGAAAGAACTCTCCAAATTCCTATATTCTACTGTGAAATACCCTATTTTTTCAAAGAGAATACAGGAAATAATTGAATAGGACTTCAGAACAGCATACCCTCTTCTCCGATCAATCTGTGTGATGGGAAAGAAGAAATATTGAAGTATGTCTAGAACACAAGTTGAAAACTATGTGAAAATAATTTACCTTGACATTCTTACTGACAGCAGATGGCAAAGAGTTGGGCTACATAATCTGAAAAAAGTGGCACCATATGATCATATCAGATGATGAAAAGTATTCACCAAGAATAATGGAAAAGGTAACTTATGAATATGTAACTTAACATACGAATGTTGTATTTTACATAATTAGATTTGCAAAGTTATTTTCTTAAATGCTGCATATGTCTAATTTCTGTTGCTTTAGATCATAAGAGTAATGACATACTATTCTCATAACTGTACAATGCTTGACAAAATACAATGCAAAAACTGCAGACAGTCCCTGACACACATGCAAAAAGAAGTTTACAGGAGAGCCTTTTTACTAAAAGGAATAAGAATATGCTACAAAGTACCCGCCTCACTGTGCTCAGAAATACAACTTAGTGAAGGGATAACAGGAAACAAAGATTTAAGAAGGGAAGATGCATCCTGCATGCCTGAGAAATTCATTCTGTATAATTACAATAGAATGGCATTTTGAAACTTGATGTAGAGCTGATATTTATTCATCTTCTGCTGCTGCACTGTTAATTTTAGGCATTGTGTAAAATAATCATCTGGTGCAATTTTCCCGCACAAACCATCCAAGGAGATAGCAGCTACAGTTGAACACTACATGATCATTATTAGAAATATCTTCTTATATTGAAGTTAATATAATTACTGAATTACTGCTGGTAAACAAACGAAGAAATATCACATGCATATGGTAATGATAAAAAATTCTTTTAAGTATGATATTAGAGTGGTTTTGTTCATAAGCTCAGTTTTTAAAATCCAGAAATCATAACCACTGGAAAATTATGTTGAGTAAGAGGTTTGCCAACATATAAATCCATTGCTCAGTAAGGTCTAAAAGAAGATATAATGATGAAGTCTGAATTATTTTCAACCATTGCTAATATTACAAGGGACTGCGATTATGATCGGTTAAAAATGGAATGAATGTAACTTTTTCCACTGCAGAGTAAAACTGTTCTGTGTAACTAATCCAACCCTTTGACTACCAGACTGCTTTATTTACCAGTGCCAATAACAAAGCTCAGTTATAAATTACGAACCATGTCACTTCCTTTTTGGAACAGAACTATAAATATTATCTGAATCACAACAAACAAGTTAGACAATTCGAAAAGCTCACCACCATTCCTAAGACCTCCATCTATGGTGTCCTGGTTGCCTTCCACTGCTGTTACACAGTCTTCCCACTGCTAATACGTAGCTCAAATTAAAGCTGCAGGAAGCAGACTTTGCTATACTTGATATTTAAAATTAATAGACCCATGTCATCATCCCCTATGACAAGCTGAAGTTATCTACATCTGTCCTCCAATCTATTCTGCATCAAATGAAATTCAGGGTGGCAGTTGTACAGTGACCATTATTTTAAAAAGCTATTTAAATCATCCTATACACAATGCAGAATCATCACACCGCAGGTTTTATTTAAAAAATAAATTACTTTGAAAATTACATTCTTCCCATTTTATGAATGTACCTTCTCCATCTTTGTTTATACTGGTGGGTACTGTTAGAGGTTGGAGTGGAATAATGATGTCATCCACATTGGTCCCTTCTTCTGTGTGCTTCTCAGAGACGTGAGACAATAGTTCGGATTGATTTGGTGAAAATAAGTTACAAAGCTTACACATGAAGATGGAACTGATTCCTGAAAAACAAGTTTAAAAACAAGGAGTTAGTATTTCCAAATTTAAGTTCTTTATTTATATTGCCACTAGTTACTGAGATTTTGGTTCAGCTAACACAGTAACTACCAATTAACTTAATACACTTAACAGACAGTAACGAGCTGAAATGAAGAATGTTACACCATTAAATGAAGACATTAATAATAAATCCCAAAATTAATTCATTTAAGAAATGGTTAAACTCCTACTCAGGTACTCACAGGGCAAAAAATTTCTTCTGGCTCAGATCTCAGAAATTTTCTAACAAAACCGAAAAGGAAGCGGGATAGATTAAGCCTTTTCCTCCTTTCCAGCCTCAGACAACATTACAATTTCATTTTTTTCAAACGTATGGCAAAATTTTACAAGACATTAAGTCATTGTCCAGGTTTGTTGTGTGTATAAATGCAAAACAGTTTATCCTTTACAAAGCAGCTCTGAAATACAGCTGGGCTCCAAATCTTAATTTATGTTCATGGACCTCACTGTTCTTTCCTGCATGTACTTAACATTTCTACTCACCTCACCTAAGCAAGTGTAATTCTCTAATAACCTGTGTAAGTGCTGGAAACAAAAGAAGGAAGGAAGAATTAAATACCACAAAAAATAAAAGGAAACTTTTCCTTCACTATAGTAACATTTGTTTGAAAATAAATATATTTTATAAAAAATATAAGCTTTCATGTGTCATTTTCACCTTAGCACGTTACCATGAGCATACCCTGTGAGTTAAAAATGTTAAGTGCGTGGTTTCAGCGGTCATTGAGGAAGGTCAAAACATCTGCAGCGCTACAGACCATAAAATGTTGCATCATATGAGAGTCACAGCTACGCAATCACATAATTTTCCTTTCTCCTTCTGTCCATTCACTTCAGAGCTGTACAAACACAAAGGTTTTTTTCTTCTTTTACCCCAATACTTTACAAAAATATCAGGCCTCATCTTGACCCATCTACATGGAGAAAAATGGGCAGGAATAGGAGGAAAATTCAAGGAGGGGAAAAGAAGTTTTCCTCTCAAAACAAAACATGTCATATCGGCCTCAGAGGCAATATTAACATCCAACATTAACAAAACCATCTAGTATTTCATACACTTTGACATACAAGTTCTATGAAAAATTCCTGTTGATTCAAAAAAAGCCCTCAACAAACCAAAAACCTTCAAAGCAGCAGCAACTGAAGAATTTCATTAAAACTTTCCTCAGTCAATGCTTCGAACAGAAATTTTACAGAACTTTTTAGACAAAACTTTATTTGTTTTGGGTTTTTTTTAATTCATAGGTACTAGAGGTGTGATGCGAAAGCAAAGCCACAAGAGAGTAGGTAACAATAAAGAAGGGTTAATATAAAGTCAACAATTCAGAAAAACCCAGCTAAAAAAGAAAGCTCATAAATTTTGGCAGAGAGCTAATCCAGAGGACTTTGTTTACTTCTAAAACTGCTGCCATGTTTTAATGGTTTGATTTTTCAACAGTCCCTGCTCCCTTCTGTGTCCAATGAAACCTAACAACACCCAGGAATCAATTTCAACAGCACGTGAAAATTTTTCTTCAGCTACATATACAAACTCCTGGCCCACAGACTGGTTTCAATTGCTGCTCTCCCTCCACCTCCCCAAGGAAAATTAGGGACATACACTCATCGAAATCAAACTGGAGCAACCAATGCTATTTGAGGCACAAACCAGGCCACAGATTAGCTGGATAACTACAGACATGAAGTGGTATTTTGTGAACTTTGGGATGAATCTGGGGGGAAGAGAACAGGGAAGCTGTATTTTTGGGACCTGTTTTCAAAACAATCCCAAGCAAAACTCCCTACCCCTATTCAACATTATTCCCCTCCCTTCACGACCCATTAATTATACAGTTCACCCCACTCAAGAAAAACCCAAGTTTAAGGTGTCCTGAATGTTAAGAACAGCAGAGCTGGCTCTCTTTTACAGTTATTTGCACATGAAACTATAACAAAAGCATCCTCATCTTCAGAAATAACACAACTACCTCCGAACTAAAGCAGCGTATGCCTTCATCTCTTTTTAAACATCCCTGAAAAACAACTCAAATACTGTTCCTGTTGTTTGAAATACACTCTGTACTACATACACAAGCAGCTACATAAAATGTATAACACACTCAACACGTTCTTAGGAGCTCAGTAGGGCTCCTTCTCAGGCATTCTGCTATCTTGAGCACACACACATTTCTATTTTGATTGCAGTGTGTTTATAATGGAAATGTTCCTTTGAATCAGTTCCTTTGAACTAGTTCTGCTCTAGTGAGCATTAACCATTTTTTTTCTCTTTAAAAAAAAAAAAAAGTGAATAAAGTCTGTTAATGACCGGTGGATGACAACTGTTATCTCCAAATGTAAATGCACATTTAAGATTCACACTACAAAACCTGTATTTACATAAAGCTTTAACTAACACTGAATATTGAATTCTATGATTTACCTGACACTTCCATTCCGAGGATTTATTTGTCACTGTATCTGCTTCCTGTCTTGCTAGTTGTTTTCCCTAAAAGTTCAGGCTAACTGCTTAGCATCTCCTGTCTCCTTCAACAGTTGCAATCAGTACTCACAGGGCACTTTATCTCTCACTCCTGCCAGTGAGGTCTTGAAGATAAGCAGAAGAACAAGATGAACCCCCAAAAGTCTCTGTGGTTGTTTAAAGTGCCTGATTACACAAACCATCAAACAGAAGTAAAGCTGGAACAACACCAGAAGTGAACAGACCAGGTGGAAGAGAACAGTGTGTTAGTGAAGGTGCAGAAAGCATCAGGAGAACATGCAGAAGATGCATGTGCTTTGCTCAGAGGTGAGATGGAAACAAAACTGAGTCAAGAAATAATTTTAGGAAGAATGAGCAGAAAAGGAGACCAGACAGCAGACAATAAACCGTGCTGATCACAGGCCTAAACAACTAGATCAGGAGTAAGCAAACAATAATTGATTAACCAGTTGCTAATTAGGTGGTATAGCAATAGAGCAATGAATTATAGTCAATTAAGTCTAAAAATCAAATAAGCAATAAGTTAATTAACTATGCAGGAACCAATGATTAATTAGTAAATAACTAATTATGTACAAAATCAACAGAGCAATTAATTAGACAGTAATTAAATATGCAGAGAAAGAAAAGAACAGTAATCAAGTATGCAGGTAAACAAAGAACAGGAATTTCAGCCAAAACCAGTTTGGAACATTCCATTCACTAAACACACTTTGTGTTAATTCACTATCTTCAGTTTGCCCATATAAACGGTGCTAAGTGTACGTTGAAATAAGTAATACCAGTTCTTTTCTTCTTAAATGGAAAAGTAGAAAATCAAGCTATAATGTAAGTGAAGCCATTTCAAATTTTTTTAATTCTTCCAAAGATCTCAGCTTATTTTTTAATTAGTCATTTTTTTTTCCTTACACTGAACATGTATACAGCACAGGGAGATTAGCAAATGGATTACTAAAAACAAATAGTGAGTTGCAGACTAGGAAGCAGGCTCCCTTATTCCCAATCACCTTCACAAGGCATAAAACAGTATCTGTGCTGTTACGCTTTAAAGTTGGAGTGGGGAGCAGAGGAGGGGGGAGAAAGAAGCGCTGATCTCAAAAAAATCACTGAAATTAACAGTGTTCGCGGCAATCAGGTAATATACTATTGTCATACATATTTTCAATCACTGTATGATAAAACCTAGTCCAGAGTTAATTTTAACTAATCAAAAACTTTCATTTTGCACAAAAGGTAGGCTAGGGGTTGGGTATTGTTTTGTTTTATTTTTAATTAACTATTTTCAGAAGAAACAGAGAGCAAGAAAACAATTCTGTATTTATACGCCATAAATTATTCTAATGCATCCAAATATTTTCATGACTCTTTTCAACACAGGCAAGTTAAAAATGTCTGTAATAGCCTTTGAGGTTCTGCAACTGTTAAAAGGAACTAGAACTCCACAGTTAAATACAAAAATAAAAATTCATCAGATATCTATTAGCCTGTGAAATAACAGAGTTGATAGTACATATACTTACGCACCTGGTTAACCTTCCTAAAATACACACCAATAAAGTTCAGAATATGAATAACTTCTTATTTCCTGGTGAACTTACAACAGAGCTGAAACAAACCTTGCTGCCTCATCACCATCAAATCCTTAACAATGAGAACTTTCTGCAATTAAAAATCTTACATGTCATTCTTAGACAAGGACTTTGTCTTGTTGGGCTTTTTCCTCAGGGTTTTTTTTTTTCTTTTTTAAATGTCAATTAGGTATTAGTGATTGTATTACAATGCTGAAAGTGAAAAAAAGAATAAAGTATATTAAACCTAAAAGATTTCTTCTCATCTTCAGCATATGTAATATAATATTTATTCTCAGTTTATTAACTCCTTTATCTCTCAAGTTATACTAGTGTTTGCTTCCAATGCTTTTTTTCCCCACTTCCTATCATGCATTTTTAACCTTCCCCTTTCTGTCTCCTGGACCCCTTGCATCATGCTCTCTGCCAGGCTCTCTCTTCTCTCTCCCTGTTCCTTACTAAGGGCTTCCAAGCTTTCAACATAACTACTTGTGGTGTTTTGGTGTCTGATGGGGTTTTGCTAGTGGGGAGGGGGCTACAGAGGTGGCTCCT